CTTGTACTTTCGTCAATCAAGGTCAAACCGTAAGCTTCGACCATTGTAAACAACAAACGACCGGAATACGTATGTCAGTTCCAAATGCCTTGTCAAAGCCCCAGAACGTTTCGTGCTTCCTCGAGCATAGCAGGTGCCGCTCGCGGTATGCCTCGCTGCCTTCCCTTGAGAAGTTTATTCGAGAATAAGCCTACAAGCCTATATCACTCCCCGTTTGTTGAGAAAGTACACAATTTAGGAAGCTCGCGCCATCCCTGAACTGGCGAGGCTTCTGCTTAGCAATTAACCAGGCCCCTTGTGTGACCAATGCGCCAAAGCTTTATCAACATCTTCGTTTTTTTTTGTTTTTTTTATTGATGAAAAAAAAAAACACGAAGATGTTGATAAAGTTTTGGCATCTTCGTGTTTTTTTTTTTTTTACTTTATCAATAAAAAAAAAACTTAGGCTTTTTGGGTGTTTGGGAAAAATGCTCCTCGAAATGAATGACCGAAAATAGGTCAACTATACTCGGCGATAACTTTTCTAGGCAATGCATTGAAGGGTACAGGCACCCGTTCCCCCTCCCATTTTGAGCGCTGAATAAAGTTGTGCGCGGGCTCTCCTCTCAAGTGCATTGCCAAGAAAAGCTGTCGCCCAGTATAGACCATTCCAATTAGCGCTCTCTGGGCGGCACCATTTTGTTCGACCGCAGCGCCCTCTCCACACATCCGGGAAGTTCAGCGGGTTCGGGGGGGGGGGGGGGGGGGTAAAACGAGAGAGAGGGCACGCGCCCGACTCCGCTATTGTCAGTTACAGGTTAAAGACCGACGACCAGTTCGCGCTTTCCACTTTTCCCCCGCTTCCTCCTCTCCCCCTTCTAAGCTGTCCACCGCTGCCTGTTTCCACCTCCTCCACCAGGGTGAGGAGTGTCTTCTGCCTTGCAGAATCTCGTATGTGGTTGTCGGCCTTTAAGAAGGTAGTGGCAAATGCCCCTCAAAGAGAATCAGATATCCCTCCGCCACCTCCGCATCCAAGAGCGTCTCACCGTTTCCGTGACGTCGCGGCCAACGAGCGAGGAAGGGCTTGCCTTTCTGTACATATTTGCTTTATCTTTCGACCTTTTACTTAGCATTGTGGAAGCCACGAGAGGGAGATTAGAGTTCTCCCCCACCGACGGAAACAAATACGACTTTCGGGGATTAGCTTCCCCCCCCCCTCCCCCCCCCCCCCCCCCCCCCCCCCCCCCCGATGGATACAAAGGCTGCTTTCAGGGGCTCGGTTCCCTCTCCGATGAATACAAAGGTCGCTTTCTTAAAAAGTGAGATCGGAGACAAGTTGGAATTCATTGAAGCGGAACAAGGAGTGTTTCCAGTGAACTCTTTTTTCGACTGCGGAGAGATTTGAAACGAGCGCATCACGCTTGTGGGAGGAGCTTCTCCTACCTTCTTGACTTGTAACCGACTATAGCAGACGACAAACCGGGAGGTTGCCGTTCTCCATATTTGGGCTGTATCGGCGGGCTCTACCGAACATCGAACTCTCGCTCGTGGCTGCCGTTGTGAAGTGGTTCGCGTACTTAGAATAGTTGTGGCTACTCCAAAATCAGCCTATAGCTCTCTGTTGTTCTATTTTGCTAAATGATCAACTAGCATATCTTTTTTCCGTTACTTAAATAGCAGTTGAGTCAGCCGGCAGTACTACCCTCAACTACTGTTTGTATTGCGGCAGGAGAGCTCGTTTTATTTATTATTTCAGGCTTCCACTCATGGTCGCTAAAGGCCTACACCAGTACGAACTCTGTATAGTAAAAAAGGTACAGCAACCGGATTTACTTTTCGCCAAAGAGACCGGCCAATATGACACAGTTTTCCCTTTTTTTTTTATTTGCACGCAGGTAACTGCGCAATTGGACCCTGTGAGTCTTTTTATCTAGCATAATATTACACGACAACTGGCATACCAAAATCTGCGCATCTTCGCTTGAAAGTTCCAAAATGATGCGATTTTAAGCAGAGTTTGCACGCCAGCCGGACGCTAGCTACAGCCCACTCGGCGGAGCGGACGATATGCGGGGTGAGAGGGGGAGTGCATTTTTTTCTCTTTTACCCTCTCTGCTATGACCCTAATGGAAGGGTCTATAGTGCTCTTGGGAGAATAGAATTATGCCGCGTCCGAGGCGGAAGGGAAACGTTTCACCTGGCGACTCTTTGTAAGAACGAGCCGCCATTGCCCGTCTTAACAAACTGGCACTTCTAAATGAGGAAGACGGAAACATATCACCCTTTTAGTAAGAACTTTCACCGCTGAATGAACAGCGAAACCGGTGAGTCGACTGTCTTTCTTAGCCACATCTGAACAAGCTATTCATCATTTTTAACACTTACGCCATGTGCGCCAGCAAAACCACTGTTCAGTATGGTTCACTTTGAGGCACATAACGTTGTTGCTGTGTAAACCGGGATATCTGAGTTTTGGTACATATAGACCAACTCAGCTCTTTGACGTGACGTCACTGCGGTGGCGCTGCTGTCGGCACTCCGCATGCGCAGCGCCTCGCTTCTCCCGGATCTGGTTCCTGCACACGCGCTGTGTGGGTAAACGAGGGCTTGTTTTGTAAACACTGTTTGTGTATACGGTAATTAAAATGAGTACGAATTACTGCCTCAAGGTATTCAAAAGTAATGACAAAGCAATTTTACAGCAATTTCATTACTTTTGGAAAGTAATTGTAATGTAATGTCATTACCTTTAGTCTGCGGTAATTTGTAATGTATTTTAATTACAATTTCGCAGTTTTCAAAAAAGTAATTAGTAATGTAATTTAATTACTATTTTAAAGTAATTTTGCCATCTCTGTCTGACGGCAAGCGCGTGTAGCGAGCCGCCGTTCGTGCAAGCTCTAAAGTTAAAAAAAAGAACAGCACATGCTCTTGCTTGGGGCACCTGATGGTGGTGTTGCTGTCACGGTGAACTTATTGCAAATAAATCCGTCCTGTCAAATTTATTTACACACATAGGCAGATACTACAATATTTAGTCTTCTCGCCATGGTCTTAAAATTTAGATTGGAGAAACCTCTAGTACGTACTACAATACATTTTCCCAATTTTTTCTTCTAAGTAATTTTAATTTTATAATTCAAAACGAGCGTGTTGGTTAATAGATACAAATTTGAAAGTATAAAACAGTGAGGACGAGGACGGGAACAGAACATCTTTCATTTAGCAACAACATAGATAGGCACAAAGATAAAACCGCCCCCCAAAGGTCTCAACGTTCTCAAAGAGGGAAAGGAGATACTAGAAAGGGAATACACTAAATATAAAAGTTTGAAAAGCGCATCACTAATCTAGTTATCTCTTATTACTTAGAATTCGACCCTTGTCATTGTCAGTGATAATGCGGAATTATTCTTGTTTGCAGTCCAAAAGGGAAATGTACTATAAATATGAGTTTAAAAAGCTGTAGCGTCACGACGAGGTGTCAGTAATCTAGTCATCTCTGGTGTTAAGAATTCGACCTCTGTCATTGTTAATGATAATGAAGGTGCAGAAATGGTGTTTATAGTCCCCATGGCAAATGATTCAATGATTTCTCTCCCAAATCTGTTGTTGTGCCGGCCCAGTATTTTAGCATCAGAAAAATGAGGAGCACAGTCATCGCATGTGCGGCTGTGAACGACAATTGGGTGATACGACTCATTTGAAGACTTTGAACACAACTTGGAAGCACCAAAGGCTTCAAATGAGTTGTATCACCCCATTGTCGTTCGCAGCCGCACATGCGATGACTGTACTCCTCATTTTTCTGATGCTAAAATACTGGCGGGCACAACAACAGATTTGGGAGAGAAGTCATTGAATCATTCGCCAAGGGGACTGTAAACAACGCCATTTCTGCACCTTCATTATCATTAACAAACACAGAGGTCGAATTCTCAACACCAGAGATGACTAGATTACTGACACCTCGTCGTGAAGCTACAGCTTTTTAAACTCTTATATTTATAGCATATTTCCCTTTTGGACAGCAAACAAGAATAATTCTGCATTATCACTGACAACGACAAAGGTCGAATTCTAAGTAATTAGAGATAACTAGATAAGTGATGCGCTTTTCAAACTTTTATATTTAGTGTATTCCCTTTCCTTTATAACTAGTATATCCTTTCCCTCTTTGAGAACGTTGAGACCCTTGGGGGGCGGTTTTATCTTTGTGCCTATCTATGTTGTTGCTAAATGAAAGATGTTCTGTTCCCGTCCTCGACCTCTCTGTTTTATACTTTCAAGTTTTTTATTTAATTTTATAATTGGCTGAAAATGCGCTAAAAACAGTCAAAACGGCCATAATTTCAGATTTGTGTAAAAGCCGCCAACGCTTTCGGGGGACAATCTAAGGGCTGTATGACCTTCATCACGTTTTCATAATAAACATCCATGAGAATAAACCCTCTCGTACATTTCTGAAATTCAGGTTTGTATAGAGAAATTTGCTCATTGAGTAACGAGTGGGTGAATACCCCTTAACTAGGTCTAGTTCTTCTTGAATCGCCTAATTGCTGGAGCCTCGTACATCAAACGTAGGCAGACCTTTGCATGGTTTCTTTTGCGATTGGTACGGGATCGCAACCCACAAAGAGGGTTGCAAACCAGAACCTGGAGCTCCCAGTAAGACACGTTTTCGCCTGAGCGACTACTTTACGACCGGTTGGTTTGGACGAGATTAACGAGATAACGTCGCCATAAATCGGGTAGCCCCTATTGACGCATCGTTCCCTCCCCATGAGCTTGAGTTAATTCTGACAATGTTATAAGCGACCATTCCTCATAGACAGTGGGTAGATTTGGTCCCGGGAATACTGAACACTAAGCATACTTCACAATTTTAAAGCGTTCAAGTGCACTGAAAGAACAGTGACCGCGCAGTAGAGCTGGTGGTCGTTGATCACATTGTGTAAAATACAAGACTCTGGTGAGAAAAGCTGAGAAACTGGGAGTAGAAAATAAAAAAAGACAGGGGAGGGAAACGCCTCAAAAGGCAGCTCACTTGTTTATTTCTCTACTTGCTTTCTTTGCTTTCTTAGCTTTTTTAAGAACAGCTGTGTTCTTGGAAAGGGCCATTGGCGACAGCTTGGTGGCTACATAAGAACCACGATAAAAGTTAGATTCATTTGAGACGTTCCCATCGTGCGCTTTGACCCCAAAGCTTTTTTTTTTTTTTTTCACTGCAACTTCGGTTTTACACAAATTTGATCACTGCTAGCGCCCCCACGTTACAGCTATGCGCAACGCATCGTAGTAAAATGGAAGGAGTCACAAGGCAGTCTGCCACACTCAAACGCAAATGTCTGAACCAGCCTTAAGAGTCAAGCATGAACACATTTTTAATCCCAACGTGAAGTCAAAATAGATTTTGTCTGACTTACTGTAACATGGCCATATTTTCGAACATAGCACCTGGGAGATATGTGAAAGGCTTTGCTCAAAAAGAAGGGCAAATGGCAATTTCGGGACTACATTTAGTATTGGCACCCAAAGCAATTAACGATGAATAATTTAATATCGGTACCAAAAGCAGTTAAATCCCAAATTCATGTGTTTTATTTGAGTCTTGGAGCTAAGCTTGAAATCACTGTAATGTTCTTTAACAGAGAGTAATACGAAAGCACGATTACATATCGATTTTGGTTCTTTTAATTGGCTCATTGATCTTCGAAAATAGCCACCATGCAACGGAATTTCTTTAGCAGAGAAACGGCAAGGTCATGTTATAAGAATAGCGCATTCAGGAGACAAAACTGACATAAAATGCAGTAATGGTAACAGTTTGAAACACTGAGATCAATCATCAATTGAAAAACAAGCACGGAAATACACAGGAAAAACAACTAATCGGCCCCAAATCGTCAGTTGCTTGTATAGGCAGAGCAATGTGGCAAAAGACGACTCCGAAGGGAGACCCGCCGTTCTCCTGGCCATGCGTGAAAACCAGGCTCGTGACTGGATGCGGTGAATTGGTAGAGCGCACCGGACGGGAGACCTCCAACGCCATCAGAGCTCGTCGTGCACCCCACTGTGCCTCCACCATCGGTCAAGTTGGTCGACCAGATGCCAATCGACAAGGTGCCACCAGTCAACCACGTGCTCCCTCTGGGAGTGGTGGTGCTTGAGGAAGTAGGAGTGCTCCCACAGGTCCAGCACCAGCATCGGATGCAGGCGGCGAGAAATCGGGCTCTCCTCGTTGGATGTCGTCACAATCGTCAGCTCCGTGTGGTCTCGAGGCGACGAGGTGTTGCGGCAAAGCCACACGTACCCTGCAAGAGACAAAGGGGTACGAGTTCAGCATAGAGCACTGCACGGGCCCGGTCCAGCCCGAAAGCCCGAGCCCAGTCCGGCCCGCGGGCCGGGCTTGGGCCGGGTAGCAGGCAATTTCTCAGGCCCGGGCCGGGCTCGGGCTTGAAGAAAATATTTTTCGGGCCGTGCCGGCTCGGGCCGGCCCGGCTCGTGTCTGGGCAGTCGTGTGCAGCAAATTCTAAATCTTTGATAACAAAAAGCGTGTTCATTGATATTTTAGGTTCAATGAAAACAAACAAGCGAAATGCAAAATCAATACGGCGCCGTTAAAGAAAAAAGGTATTTTTTGTGGAGAAGTTTTTAAGCGGATAAAAGGAAACGTATGAATTCCACCAGCATAGTGAGAAAGTGCGGCCAAGAAAACGGTGGCACTCCAGTCGCAGGGTACAACATGAGTGTCTTTTTCCTCTTCCATTCAAAGTAAAAAAAAAACAGAAAAAAACGTGAGCTTGACTTTGCACTTCGTGGCCTTACTATGCCACCTAAGATAAGCGAACTACCATCAATAATTTTATGCTTATACAGCCATTTTGAAGATGCACTAGCGTGATTCTTATTGTTTCTGCTTATTCAGCCATTTTGAAGATGCACTAGCGTGATTCTTATTGTTTCTTTACATAAACATGTAGCAAGAAAAGTTCTCTGGGAAACGACTTGAACAACAAAAATTCCAACATCTCTTCGAAAAATGCATAAATAAAATATTGCCCAGTTTTTTTTTTTTTTTATTTACTCATGAAGTGCATATTTCGCCCATATTCTCGAAAATACATCGTCTAAGTCGGGATATTTATCGTGTCAAAAAAGCTCGGTCCAAGTTTAAAAGAAATTTAAAACAAATATGCTCGCTTTTTGCTTAGATAGTTTCTAGGTTAAAGCCTGCAAACTTTTTCAGGCTCACGTATATAATCTGTCGGGCTCGGGCCGGGCTCAGGCTTATAATTAAAATTTTTTTGTCGGGCTCGGGCCGGGCTGAAGCTTCTGTCTAAAGTTCTGCCGGGCCCGGGCCGGGCCCGAGCCGTGTCTCTTCCGGGCTGGGTCGGGCCGGGCCTAGAAATCAAATATTCTATCGGGTTCGGGCCGGGCCCGGGCCGTGCCTCTACAGGGCCGGGTCGGGCCGGGCCGAGAAATTGCGGCCCGTGCAGTGCTCAAGAACTTCAGCATGAGCCACGGGGGCGGGTTCCTGCTCGTGGGCCTGATGGTGAACTGCCCCAAGCCTTTTCATCTAATTAGTTGCCTGACCGGCGGATAGAGGGCGCTGACGCACTCGCCGCCATTAGATTGCTTCAACTTGGTTGGGTTCGATTGCAACATGCACGCGGTTGTGTTCCTGTTTTATGTCGCTTTCGCTAAATGTTGTGATACAAATGTGTCCGTTGTAATGGGTGATTCAAGGAGCGGCCAGGCGCTTTGAATCGACCGCAGAAATCGGTTTCTTAACCTATCGCGCGACGATTTTGTGCAGCGTTGCCCACAGATGGTGCTTTTTTTATTTTTTTGTAAAATTTGCAAACAGCAAACTTACCTGAGGAAAAAGTAAACAGAGAAAAAGGCTTACCTCCTATGGAAACGCAGCGAAACCACCGGTCTTCAAACAATACGGCGCCGCTTTGCACGGGAAACGAGAGATGGCGCAAGCCGTCGCGACGCCAACTGCCACCAACGAACGAGCATACGTCGCCGAGAGCCGGCGTCTTTAGCAGACGATCGTTTCGACTCAAACACGGCGCGCGTTCCGCAGGCGGCGACAGTCGCAGAAACAAAAACAGGCGCGGTAACAACAAGGAACTGCAAAGCAGACGACATCAGTACCCCGAAATAAACAGTCAAAATATCCCGACAAACCATTTTTTTAATCAATTCTCTGTCCATTCAATATGTTTTATTAGTAAGGATGATAAAATGATGCGTTGGCAACTGATATCAGAAAAGCTCGCGCCGCTTTTGAGTCGAAACGATCGTCTGCTAAAGACGCCGGCTCTTGGCGCGCCGTATGCTCGTTCGTTGGCGGCAGTTGGCGTCACGATCGCTTTCGCCATCTCTTGTCTCCCGTGCGAAACGGCGCCGTATTGTTTGAAGACCTTTGGCTTCGCCGCGTTTCCATAGGAGCTAAGCCTTTTTCTTTCTTTACTTTTTCCTCAGGTAAATTCGCTCTTTGCAAATTTTACAAAAAGAAATGCACCATCTATGGGCAAAGCTGCACAAAATCGTAGCGCGATAGGTTAAGCCGAAATTTGCGGTCGATTTAGAGAGCCTGGCGTCTCCTTGAATAACCCTGTCGTATCTGTTCTGTTGCTTCCAAAGATATGCAACGCCACGGTCCTACCCGATGACACTCACTTGCGGTAAAATAAACTAATGAATAGACTAATGCAGTATTGCATAGTGAAAAAAGCAAAGGGCGACAGGTGTATAAGTGACACGTCACTGCCTTTATCCGCAAATGAGTATTCGTTTTTGCTACAGGGGTTACACCGGAATTACTCATGACTGTTTGTTTTGCCAAGGCTATATATATATATGAGTAGCTTTCTTTAAATCAAAGCTAGTTGCGAGTGCGCCCCATCTGTCTACTTCACTGTCCCTTTGGTGCTTACCTACGGGAACAGATCAAGTTTACTGTTCAGTGTTTTCGGGGACATCTACTTTTTGTGGAAAGACTCCTAGAATGAAAGACTATAAAAACAAGTGATATTTCATTTTTCTTTAAAGAAATTAAATACTCGAGAAATATTTCAATAGTCCCACCTAGAGGGACTTATTTTATTGTCGGCCCGCTAAAGTACTCATTAAGGGCATTTAAGCACATTGGCCTTAGGAAATATCATATTTATTTTGTGGACATTATTGTTTGCAGCGTAAAACTTGCCAAATAAAATTCAAGGGCGCAAGAGAAAAGAAAGTTTGTCTAAGGTCGAATGCCAGGCGCCACTTCATAAACCTGTGTAGAGAGATTTTTTTTGTTTGAACAGATGCACTTCGTAAATTTTTGCGTCGCCAGCCTTTGAAAGTAAATCTCTATTCGCCTTCGACAACGCGTCGCTCGTGTGTTATTTCTAGGCGTCGCATATTGCGGGCACCCGGCACTCTCAAGCTGTCTGTGACATTTCCTTACACGGTGCCATCACAACCCTTGTATTTAAATAACTCAATTGCATTGCATTGGTTATCTTAAGCAAATAATTAAAGCACACGGTACACAGTTGTGTTTTTCTGCATAAATAAACCAATTACGCGAACGTTTGCATCGCAAAAACAATTAAGAACGCTAGACACATGCAGGTTTGATATTATTAGCAAACAAGTCACCTGATGTGTACGTGACATGATGCTTAGCATTAAATAAAAAGCATGTTATACGTTCTTTGCCTATCTTCTCTACCAGTTCCCCCATTTAAAATCAACTGTTTTTGATCTGCTATTAATACAAAGAATTATGCTTTCAGGAAACACCCATAGTGGCTTCCTAGTAGCAGAAATACTCAAAAATGTATTTGGAAATACAAATACTGGGATACATTAAAATAGTAGCTAAAATACTGATACTAAAATATACCTGTAAAAATGTATCGCGATACGTATCGGAATTATATCTTAAATAGAGGCAAAAAGTCTTTGAAAATACAAATACAGGAATACATTTTAGGGGGGCAGAAATACAAATACAGAAATACCGATACTGCAATACTTTTTCCAAATTTTTTGAGACGCCAATTGAGATTAAGTTTGAAGTGCAAGTTTTTGATCCCGAAATCACTTGCCCGTAGACTTGGCAGTTTGCCTTAAAGGTAGCGGTTTCGGACGACGAGGAGTGTTCAATGGGTTAAAAAAAACGGTCCATCAAGGACTGACCGCGGTCCCTTCCCTGATATCCTGTCTGTCTGACGAGGGATGCGAAAAGACTTGGACCTCTAAATAAATTCTATGTCACCCTAAATCCCATCAAAACGTTACCACGCCCCTGTCCACTAAGGACGCTCCTGTTAACATTGATCACATGACGTTACGGTGGAATGAACTGGTATTCTTTATCTGTACGTGCGGCCTTGAACATAAAACTTTACCACGCAGCTGTATGAAAGGACATTACGTACTTTCGTTGCAGGTTATCTCGTTGAAGATCGTGCAGGCATTGTCATTTGGAATGTTCGAGAATAGTGAACTACAAGAAGCATCCTGGAACACATGCCTTCTGTTACGGTTGATAAAACGATACGGTGGCATCCTTGTTGTGAAGCTCCTTCCTACCGAACCCCCGCCACCGACGCATGGATTGCAGTCCTCAAGTTTTGCCTAGCGTCATCCAAACAGAGACCTCGTGGATTGCGACCTTATATTGCCGGCACAGGTGCGAGCAGCGCGCTCGAGACGAGTGGCAGGTGTACGAAGTCTGGGTCGGCATAGCGAGGCCTTGTCTGGCCTCCTTCTGGATCACAAGAGCAGCGGGGTCACGTTCACGTCGGCTGATGACGTACCCTTGAGCCGTGCAATATTACGGGCGCAGCCGCAGACGCATTCGAATATGTGTTGAACTTCACTGCGTGAGTCATCCTACTATTTCAAGTCAACCACCACCAGGCTCGTGCTGCAACGGACTGTGACTCAGCTTCGCCCTCTCCAACTGTGACGCAGCTTTGCCCAGCTCCAACCTCTGTTGGAGACTACCTGGGACGCGGTAGACATCAAACTTACAAGATTTGTAGACGTTGATCTGCCGGTCATAAACTCATGCCGACTAGGGGGGGTCAAGTTTCGAAATTTGAAAGACAAGAATTGATGAATGACTGCTTCAAAGAGTTTGGAATATGAGAAGAGAAGGGAAATCGGTCTAATAGTTGAGAACCTCACCTTTCTTTCCCGACTTCAGAACCGGAACAATTATGGCAATCTACCACATTTCGGAAAATACTCCTGACCATAATGAGTTGTTAAATATTGCACATAGTGTAGGTGTCAGTAT